TTGCTCCTGCACACAGTGGGGGAGGGGCGTCCTCCTGGCTGCAGGAACACATTTTAAGACGTCTTCAATTATTCATGGGGACTTAGAAGAGCTGCCTGCCTGCCCCCGAGCAACCCAGCAGCCACACTTTGCAGAGGCCTGCTTGCAGCTCCTCTGGCTGTGCCCCAGAGGGGCCATGTGTGTCCTCACCTAGGATGAGAGACTCACTGGGGAAGGCAAGGCCCCCGCACACTGTACTTGACCCCAGGGGTGGGGGCCTGGCCCAGCCCCTTCCTCTTCTTCTGAGAGGCTCCACAGGGCTAGGGGCCCTGGGCCCAGGGCACAGAGAACACCTGCGGGCCAGGGCCAATCAGGAAGGGGATTGGGCAACAGTGGAGGAGACTGGCCGGGGCCTGACCAGGGAATCTGGGGTAGGGTTTGGTTTCAGGAGCGGGAAGCAGCTCAGGGCCTGGGTGGCTGGTAACCAGTGGAACCAGGTCAACGGCACATGGCCGAAGGCCAAGCTCATCGCAAGCCTAAAGCAAGAGCGGCTGGACTCATCCAGGACCTACATAGTGGCTGTTGTGAGCCCCACGTGGGGCTGGGGCAGGCCCAGCACCGTTTAGGAAGTGCCTGTTAGCTCCAGGACACAAGACTACGTCAGGTAGCAAAGTGCCCACAGACTGCTTCTGCCCACTGATCTCCCCACTCCCATCCCGCCAGCACCTGCTTTCTTTTCTCCCTTCCAGCTCAGCCCTTGTGCTTTGATGAGGTGATACCACACACGCCAGGAGGGGCATGTGGTTCAGCTGGACCAACTAGCTTACTCCATGCCCCTGCCTTAGGGATTGGCTCAAGAAGGGTCAGGTGACAAAGTTAGGGTGATGATGGAGGCCTGGAGATGCCAGGACCACCCATAGGGGGAAGGCTGCTTGGGAGGGGAGCCCATAAGGAGAAAGCAGCGCTGAGGAGTGGAGAAGCTGAGTTCTGATGACACTGAGGCAGCACCTGAATACAGCCCTACCTGATGCTGTCCCTTTCAGCTGAAATGTTTCTGTGAACCCAGAACTCTTCTCCTAGGAAGGGGACAATGGGTGAACACAGGGCCACCACTCCTCCCTTCTAGGCACTGGCCAAGGGTGAGTGACAGTGAGATGGCCCAGGGTAGGACATCCTGCAGACACCCCTCTCCTGGAGAGAACTCAGGAGCACCCAAGGGGGTTGCAGCCTCTGGCATGTAGAGCACCTCCCCCCCCCCATGACAAACACAGGCACCCAGCACACACTCTCACATAGACATACACAAGAGGCACATGTTCACAAAGACATGTGCTCCTCTGTGCCCATGTTTGCACACTCAGATATATGCACAACTTGCACACAGTCTTACACACACAAACAGACACGCACATTTTCAAACAAATCCAGTCATAGACACACACTTGCAGAGGAGCCCTCAGGCATTCGTCCTCCAGGTTCGGTCACACTTGCAGATCTGCTCACACTCACAGCATGCATGTTCTCACGAGCCCAGGGCGTACACAGCTTCCCACCAAACTGCATACTCGTGTGTGGTAGGAGAGCCCTCAGCCTGCAGGGAACGGGGGCGGGTCTGATACTGCCTCCTGGTCTCCAGCAGGCCTCGGAGCACAGCCCACGGATGTGTGGAAGGGTGAACACCAGGTGAAAATGATTAGCTGTCACTCAGTACTTGATTGATGCCGCTTGTTCTTGGCAAAGGGCTGACATGTTATTGATCCACTTAGTATACTCATACCAGCACCCCCTGAGCCTGGGCTAGCTAAAGAACATCAGGAGCAGGGGAGGGGAGGGTCATGTCGATGGGAGGAGCAAGTGCTGCTGCCAGGCAGCTCCAGGCCTACAGCCCTTGCTGGGCCAGCAGTTATGCCTGGGGCCGTGAGGGGTGGTAGGGGGGGTCAGCTGTTTCTTCTCCGAAACCTCATCCATGCAGTTACGCCCCTTCTAGGTTTGTGTTCCTAGTCGTGAATGAGCAGCCCAGGTTGGAGAGGGGAAGGGGTGTAACCAGGGAGGGCAGAGGGAAACCTGATGATAAGACCACAGGAACACTGGGTATAAGAGCTGGGGAGATAAACCCAAAACACACAAAAAAACAACAGTATTTGGGCCCTTTTCTTGGAGATGCTGTTAAGCTTTTTCTCTGTTTCCTGACAGAATTTAGTCCATAGCAGGGGTTATGGCTTTAGTTTATCAATAAACCTTGACTGACTTCCCTCTCACTTCCGTCTTACAGTATATTTACCTACCCATCCATTGTCTGTCTGTTCGTGCATCCATCCATCCGCTGATCCCCCCATCCATCCATCTGTCCATGCACCCACTGATATATCCATCCATCCATCCGTCCTACCATCCACCCACCCATTTGTCCATCCACCCA